TATGTGGTTATTGATTGTGTTGTATGTAGTTGATGTTTGTATGTGGTGTGTGCTGTGTGTGGTGTGTTATTGCTGTGTATGTGGTGTGTGTGCTGTATGGTGTGTGTGCTGTGGTGTGTGTGTTGTATGGTGTGTGTGCTGTATGTGGTGTGTGTGTTGTTATGTGGTTGACTGTGTTGTATGTGTTGTTGATGATTGTGTGTGTTGTTGTGTGGTTGTGTTGTATGTAGTTATTGTGTTGTTATGTGGTTATTATTGTGTTGTATGTGGTGTGTGTATGACTTGTATGTGGTGTGTCTGTGTTGTATGTGGTGTGTGTGTGTATGGTGTGTGTTGTATGGTGTGTGTTGTGGTGTGTGTTGTATGTGGTGTGTGTTGTATGTGGTGTGTGTGTATGTGGTGTGTGTTGCTGTGTGGTGTGTGTGTTGTGTGGTGTGTGTTGGCCTTCATGTGGTGTGTGTGTGTTGTATGTGGTGTGTGTGTGTTGTATGTGGTGTGTGTGTGTTGTATGTGGTGTGTGTGTGTTGTATGTGGTGTGTGTTGTGTTGTATGCTGTGTGTGTGTGTTGTATGTGGTGTGTGTGTGTTGTATGTGGTGTGTGTGTTGTATGTGGTGTGTGTGCTGGGGTAATACTGTATGGTACTGGGTAATGTAGTTGTAGATGGTGAAGAGTTTGTAAACACAGCACACCCTAATTGGTAAAGGCCTACCACACAGGAGGTACTACGCCTGGGAAGATATTGGAAGCATAATGTGTTGTCTAATGGTGACCCTGCTGCCATATGTGACAAGTCCCCAGGTTGATGATCTGACTTTCTGCCTCATTTACACACAATTGCAGGGTCTCAATTGTTTCTCTTACTTTGACAACACAACAGTCATATACTGTTTCATTTTATTTTTTTTTTCATTTTTGTATTTATTTATTATTATTATTATTATTGTGTTATTATTATTACTGTGTTATTATTATTATTATTAATTTATTTTCAATTTTTTTGTTTTATTATAAATTTTATTTACTATGAATTATTATTAAATTTTCTCCCCCCAGGCCCTGACGTGGGTCAGTGACCTGTGCCCGGGTGGGCTAATGCCCGTGTAAAAAAAAAAAAATTCTCATTAACACATACTGTACAGTACTTTACAGCCAGGTCATCCTTGATATTTTATTTTATTTTTTGCTACTAAAAGCTTCTCTTATACTGTACTGTACTGTACATGGCTCCTCTTCTACATCCTGAGACACTGTCTTACTGTACATCTTCTACTTGGCTTCTCCAAGCCATATTTCTGTAAAAAAATAAATAAATAAAAAAAATCATACCAGGTACCCATTTTAACAGTAACAAAATGAGCCTGACTACGTCTCCCCTTTCCAAGGTGGAAACGGATATGGCTTCCACTGTCAACAACTACAGTACTACAGTATAAAACTTAGTGTCATATCTTTGTATTTTTTTACATAATTTTTCTTACAAGAATGTTAAGTTCTTTTTTATCACAAATTCTTTTTAAAATAAATAATAATAAAAATTAGCATTTGAATAATTTCTAATTACAGTACAGTATATAATTACATGTTATTGGTAAATTATCCCATCAGAAAACAAGAGAAATAATTATTGTACAATACAGCTTCAATTTCCTCAGCTTGTATAATACAATACAATACATATAGACCTTGGTCAACTGCTACTGTATAAGGAACATGTTGATTTAGATGTCATTGAACATAAACCCAAATGAAATCTCTACAAAGGCTTTAAAGTCATCATCTTCAGTCTGGATAGCACCACTGACCCCTGGACCCCCCACCTTACCTCTGTCTTATCTCCCTCCTTCCCTCCTCCAAGTGCAAATGCTGATATAAAAAATCCCTGATAGTCATTAAGATCTTTATACCAGCAGCCAGCACTCACTCTGCCCCTTTGCCGTGTGAGCTGCTTCATATTTGTTGAACCTTGGAGTCTGATAAGTAGTTACTGTACTAAAAGAGTCAAGTGTTACAAACCTTTTTCTTTTTATCCTTGTGATGTCTGTTGGATTTGCTTTTCCTTCTAAGCTTCCGTCGTTCTTTTTTCTTCCTATAGAATAAAATTTCATTGCTATAATCATCAAGTTATATATATATATATACAGTGGTCCCCTAAGTGAGCGGCACAATCGTTCTAGAAGGTTGCTCGTTAACGAAAAACTAGATTAATGAAACCATTGTTTCAATGGGTTTTTGAATTAGTGGTTCAGCTCACTGAAAATTGCCTAAATTCAACAAAAAAAGGTAAAGGACACTTACTGAGGTGTGTATGTAAAGGCTCCTGGATGATGATGATGGGAATTAGAATGGGGGTGGAAGGGAGAAAGAGCATTGGGGTGGAAGAAGTCACCCCATGGTGCCATTCACCCATAAAATTTTAGTTGGTGCAATTCAAGATTATTTTCTTTAAATCAACACTGTACTGCATTATATATTGTCAATATGTAAAATAAATTTCAAAATGACCAATAATTTGCTTGCAAAAACAGAAAAAAGCATTTAGTTGAAGAGTCTCAAGCAAGATGTTACCGCCACTGAAGAAGATACAAAGGGCAGCCTGTATGGTGTGTTGAAGGCTGGATGGCACACATAAAACTAGTTTCATTACCTTCAATTATGTTCAATAATTGTTAAAATGAAACAAAAATTTAATATTAAACTTTTAAAATTATTGAATAGAATAAACTTCTTGATATTTGCTAAAATGGTAAGGAATTTAAGCCCTAGAACGATTACTGTATTGGCGGACTAATACTACAGCTGGTGGACACAAATGCCGAAATCATGTTCAGGTTGGCTAGTAAAACTCGTTATCGAGGATTGCTCGTTAACGAGGTTAAGAATCTTATGGAAGTAACTAGTAACGAAATCTCGTTAACGAGGACCAATATATATATATATATATATATATATATATATATATATATATATATATATATATATATATATATATATATATATATATATATATATACACACACCAGGATACTGGTGGTCCAGCATTAGCGTTCCCAGGTCTGATCATAGGCTTGTGGGCGTGGTTGAATCTGGCAGGTTGAGGTGTTGATTGTATGTAGAAATCCAGTGCTATTATATGAAATAAATATATATATATATATATATATATATATATATATATATATATATATATATATATATATATATATATATATATATATATATATATATATATATATATATATATATATATATATATATATATATATATATATATATATATATATATATATATATATATATATATATATATATATATATATATATATATATATATATATTACAATCAACCCATATACATCATGAGTTTAGCATTCTGGTTTGCAAACTCTAGCCGGATTGCTTACGCCGAGGAATATTCTGTACATTGAAGTAATTGAAGTACATTCAAATCGCACCCATTCAACTCGCTTGTGACTTTTTGAACTACGGGACACCGCCCGCTCCGCCAACCTCACGCTTTACACACGCATAGCTCTCTCCCTCCTCAGTCAGTCTCGCTGTAACCAACGTGTTGACATCATGTAGTTGCAAAAATAATGCATTTCACGTGAATGTATCAGGCAGTATGAATAGAGAATATCACTAATATAAGAGTATTTTAACGAAAACTACTAAAAACGAGTAACATATCTTGAACATCGGAAGGTTAGGTAAAGTCTCTTGTTTTAGTCATGTATTTTATCCTATTTACATTTGGGAAATACATCCGTTTTAACAAAACTACTATTTACTGAGAATATATTCATTCAGGCTGGTTAGGTAAAATATACATGTGCTGTATTTTTTAATTGAAAACGATTCGAACGTGCCCTCCTAGCCCTGTTCAAGGAAGGCTAGGAGAACTGTTTGGTGCTTAAGACGATGACAAGAATGATTTTGATGGATTTTTAATGAAAATGTTCAGAAAGACCCTGGCACTGTATCAGGAAAGTGGCTGCTGAAGGCTTCGGGACATAGCAGAGGACCTTGAGATAAAGGGCTAATTAGAGAGCGACACTGAGCTGACCCGAGGATCTACAGGAGTTAATGGAGCTCAGGCAAGGAAGAGAAGCGAAAGGAAAGAGGATGAGGAAGAGCATCAGAAATAACGTTGGAAGTTGGGGGAGATGACCAGGAATATTATGAGGCACTGAAAACCTGGCCTATAATTATGGACCCCCTCCATGGTGTGCCCTGAAAATGCATCTTGAGGATGGATAAGTTTAAGCTCCATGGCTGTCTATGGAAGAAATGAATGAAAAGAGCGACAACTCCCCATCACCATGTTCTTTGATCCCCGAGATTGCACCAGCCACTGGCGGCAGTGAGAAACTTGTAGCTGAATCCACGATAGCCCCCACTTCCTACCCGTTATGGAAGGTGGTGACAGTACAGTAAAGTGAAGTTTTTATCTCTTTTTTTTTTAATGGCTTTTCTATTTGCCATGTTTTATTGTTTGTAAAATAGCACAGCACAGTACAGTTCAGTACTGTACATAGGAAATGGAGGTGCAATTATTACAAAATATTTGTGTTTGTTGTCGGCAATGCGTGTGTGTGATGCTGGAGAAGCGGAGGAGGCGAGTTGGGAGGTATGGTGACCTTAGGCGGGAGCAGGGCAGATGCCAGCAAAGTACGTAGAATATTATTAATTGTTTTTATAGCTATTTTATATTTATTTCTGAGAACATGGAAATGTAATATTTTTGCTGAAATGATATGCGTACAGTGGAAAGTGGCAGCCCAGCAATGACTTCGCTTTCTTCGTTCAAAAAAGATATTACCGTAATGTCGCTTTTTGAATGGTTTCAGTTGTGGGATTACTAAGATACGTAATGGGATAAGTATTATTTGTATTACGATGCGAGTACAGTACAGGTTTTAACTGAAAACCATTCGGCGATTACGTAAAATCTTGAACAGCGAAAGTCGTGTTTTCACCGAAACCTATCACTTTCCGCTGTACGGTAATAATATGCGTCATTTCGTATAATATTTCCATATTTAATTCTGAGAATATATTCATTCAGTCACAGTTAAGGTAAAATATACTTGTGATGTAATATTTTAATGAAAATGCGGTATCGTAGTTTTCTTTTGTATCAAATTTAATTAACAAAGATTGATGTTTCAAATGTAATGAACAAAAATTTATGTACAGTATCTATAAGTAAACTTCAAAAAATGAATACTTTATGTTTTACATCGTCCTGTGCATACCATACCATGGATTTGGCTACTTTGGGGTTGCTATGATGACGCAAGAGATCTGCCCTGGCGACTGTACCGACACTCACAGCTGATGGTGTGTTGGTGCGTCATTTCCATTGTTTACTGGTAGTTACTGGTAAATATTTTTCAACCTAACGAAACTATTACCCGTTTAGAGGTCGACCCCCAATTTTTGCCAAATAATTTGGTCTTAAAAACTCGAACTACACACAGGTATATATGGTAAATAAGGACATGGGGGGCCAGGGATTTTTAGGGGGGAGAACAAAGCCAAAAGGATTTTTAACATTCACGGGTATCTCTGTGTGCATGCGTGAGCGCCACAGCTGCACAGCGACAACAAGCGACCACGCGGTCGCCACTTTAAAACGAGCAATCAAACTGTGACAACGTATGTAATTTTGAGTCCTACTCTTTCCATTTACAGAGTACTGTACAAGCCCATAATAATGGCTCCTAAAGTAGATAAACTTCGTTGTGTGAAGAGAAAGAAGAACACTTTGAAATTGAGTGACAAACTTGAAATAATTAAGAAACTAGAACGTGGTGTGAGCAATGCTGATCTAATGGAAACATACGACATTGGAAAGTCTACAATTTATGATGTAAAAAAAGGCAAAGAATAAAATTTTTGAATTCACAGCTTTATCTTTAAAACTGCTTGATTTGATAAATTCAGCATGCTATATTTGCTAATGAATAAACTATCAAAATGTACCTGTTCATCTCTTCTTTATTTCTCCTGAAATTTGAATTTTAAAAGTACTGCCTCAGAATCCGGAAAATCCGAAAATCCGGACCGACCCAATCCCCAAGCAGTCCGGATTTTTGGACTTCTTCTGTATATATATATATATATATATATATATATATATATATATATATATATATATATATATATATATATATATATATATATATATATATATATATATATATATATATATATATAAAGAGAACAGAAAACAGTACAGTAATGAGCAATAAAATTCTCCAGGTGATGCAAGAGGTCTGCAGAAAACTGCCCAAGAAACAAGACAGCATACCCCAGAATGTGAACACTTCTACAGTACTGTATATTCAACTTATCTTAAATCTGTTACAGTGACAGTATTATATTCTGTACATACCTTAGGTCTGGTAAAGCTCTGTAAAGGGCATGAAAGTCCGCCCTAAGTTTCAAACCATCTTTCATGTACAAGCCAACTCGTGCTCGCACATTATTTTCTTTCGCAACAATTTTCTCAAATGCTCCATAGCTCGCTGCAGACCCATCTGAAGAACCTGACCCATCAGATTTGTCATCTGCGGTCATGGTTGATCACAAAATTTTTTCACTTTTCTAAAAGTCTATACTGTATGCACCTCAGCATGTCTGAAATAGGAATATTCAAGTAAAGAAAAGAGTCATCATATTAACTGTGAACATAAGATGGAAAGACTTACATTTCTCAGTTAACTAAAACTAATAGATATCTTAGTACAACCGAACCAGAAACTATCAAATGTTCCCGACTTAAAAGAAAAAATAATCATATTTTAACATATGCCAACAAAGAGTGTAGTGCAATACCATCTTGTTTGTAGGCAACTGTCAGAAAACAAAGTCTTACCTCTCCAATTATTACTTCAATTTTGTGTTCTGTGCTCCATAGTTAATGAGAAATGTCAACTGGTAAGAGTAAGAAACTCAATGGAACTTGATATTAGTGTTGATTTGTCAAATTAGTTCCTCCAGCTCCACCCATCACACATATAATGTGTTGCCCAATGGTTTATATCTGCTATACTGATACTGTACAGCCTAGTGATCTTTTTTCTTTCTTTTTATTTGCACATTTTATCCCAAGCCATTGGGTAAGGCACACTTTTTCCTGTAAACAACTTTGTTAAAAGATGCATAGTTTAGCCATAAAAGCTGGTTTAAGTATTACTGTATTATACATGATAAACAGAGCACGATGAATCACAGACCATAACTATACTGGACCATTCAATCTTATCATTCTTAATGACCTGCAAGAAAGTATATATTACCACTTTTTTATCATCTTCTCTATGATGTAAATAATCTAGTGACAGAAAGGTCTTATGGGGTGGGCATAACACCTTAACTCTGGCTTTTTTCCTCCACTGTTTTTTGATAGGAAGTTTATTTTAATTGTAGTGTATTTGACAAATCTGGAGACTCCCATTGGGTGTAAACATACTTCCCCTCCTCCCTCCAACACAACCTATAATTTCACTGCTTGTGTGACTTTAGTGTGTAGTGGATTTCTCCCCTACAAACGCTGTTTGTCGCTGAGTAGCCGACCCCACCAATTCCCCAGTGTATGCCTCGTGGTCTAGGTCAACCAGCGCCGCCATACATAGCGGAGCGGGGGTCAACTATTAAGCCACGCCAACCCCCCTCTATTTAAGACCTGACCTCGTGGTGATCTCTCTCTTTCTACCTACACCAACCAGCCAGCAACACCTCCTCTTCCTCCGCCGCTGCGTGGCGGCCCTCGCTCCTCCTCCGCCTGCCTGGCGGTCCTCTCTCCCGCCGGCGAGCATGGCGACCCACAAGCTGTTCTTCTCTGCGCGTCCTCACCAACCAGCTCTCTCTACATCACGCTTGTAACCATGCTGCCTTCCCAGCACCAAGCTGCATTGTACATCCAATACAACATGTATATAGAGAGCACATTGTGAGTTTCCTTTCTCCATCCCATCCTGAGTGAACACCAAACAATCTCATACCCCACAAGTGCTTCACTGAAATGAAGATGAATCATCACTGACATGTCTGATGTTAAAGGAACAAACCTTCTGCATGTTGTAGTCTTCTGTGACTCAGTCAGACTTTTGCCATTTCAACAAAGCACTACAGTACAATACAGGTGTCTTGTAGGATAATGGTATAGTGACACTCCTGATTGATGTAAGTACAGTACTTAAAATGCTAGGTGTGTGGACACAGGTGTTGGGGCATGAAAGGTATTATTTGCAAGTAGACTCTCAAGAGATTTTTGCAAATGAATAGTTGCTATCGGTAGACCTCGCCCATCTCTCACTTTTCTTTAAGGTATTTCTATCACAAATTACTTGCATGCGAGATATTTAACTTTCTTTATTTACTGTAAATACTCCTTCAAAAAATCTGCTGAGTCACCATGTGTCATCTGTTTTACTTTTTTTTATCCTCTTCACCATTGATCAGCTCGTTAGCCGCTCGGGCGGTCGGTCACGTCTCTGTTACACACTGTTGGCAAGTACTGGCCATGCACTGGTTCTGAATGTACTTGAACCTGCTCCAGTGTCTGTCATGTCTGGTCATGAATGAGTTCACACTTGGTGCAGCCACAACACTCTCTGCGAGATTGTTCCAAGAGTTCACAACTCTCACTCCGAAAAAATTTGTCCTCACAGTTTTCTGGACCTGCGGCTTCTTCAACTTTGAGCTGTGACCCCTTGTGGGGAAGACGTCTGCCAGCTCCAGGTATGTAGATTCAACCGAGTGGTGACCCGTGATGTTTATACACTTTGATTAGGGCGCCCCTCTGTAGTACATGCTAGGTAGTTGCAGGTGTTTCAATCTCTGGGTAACTGAGGTTCCATAGAGCAGGCACCAGCCTGGTGGCCCTCCTTTGGATATTTTCAACCAATTAACAATCACAAGCATACCTCAGGGACCAGACATAGTGACAATTCTCCAGACTGGGAAGCACCTCACACTTGAAGATCATGATGAGTGACGTACCATCCAGATATCTAAACGACCTTCTTATAAGACCTACTAGTTTTGTTGCTTGATTCACCTTCTCACAATGGCCCAAGAACTTAAGTTTATTGCCAACATACACACCCAAGTCCTTTTCACTTTCGGTCTCAATTAATGCATTCTCTTCGTCCTATTGGGACATGTGACATGTCTCCTTACTGTTGGTGTGACTCAGGTGCAATCCCACTCAGCCTGGGCGTCCTCTCACATATAAAAACAAAAAACATAAAATTACACCATGACGCTTCAACAAGGTTGCTTTCATTGGTACTAGATAACAAAGTAAACCTTCTGTTTAATATGGCAGGGGGTCCAATAGGTAAGGTTAGGTAGGTTTCTTTGGTTGGTTAGGTCAAGTTCTATTACGTTCACTGTTATTCACTTGCACAGGAAATGTATGGCATGAAAGTTATTAAGAATGATGATATATATATATATATATATATATATATATATATATATATATATATATATATATATATATATATATATATATATATATATATATATATATATATATATATATATATATATATATATATATATATATATATATATATATATATATATACATATATTGCCGAGCGTCCGCTTGTAAAAAGTGACTTTACAAAAATCCCAGATAATAGAATATTCTCCTTCTCTTTGCTCAAAATATGGGATTACAAGTGGTGGGTGAATTAATTATTGCTGGTTGATTATAAGTACAGTATATGTAGTTTAAAATAAACATGTTGCTAGGTCTCACTTGCATTTTGTTCAGTTTTATTGATATTGTGGGGAAAAATGTGCCTCCCACACAGAGATATTTTACAGAGGTAGAAATCTCACATAACAAAGCCACCAAGTGTCAACCACTGAAGACCAGACTTGACAAACACTGGCACACATTATTAAGAGCCAGTACTTGTCAACAGTGTTTAACAGTGAAATGTCCAACCACTCAACTGGCTAGTGGACACGATAATAAAGTACTGTAATATGTTATGGTAAAGCCGCCTTAACAGAAACACATCAATAAATGCTATACTATAGAACATTAAATATAGTTAAGCCAAGGTAACATAACTACACCACCAAGGTAAATCATGCCAATAATATGAGTAAATTAACGTGACAACTGTGTGTAGTGTGTTGGTACAAGAAGTAAGAGACATACAGTATAATAGTAATAATGTGATGAAACACCACACTCAACTCTTCTATACTTGCTCACATATATTAAAGACCAATTGGAAGTTATTCCTTCATGTCTTCGGCAATTTTTCTGAAGTTTTTCATGAAGAATATCGTGTTGATAAGGGGGAGTACAGTAGCAGCAGAGAGACAGTTCAGTAATACTCAGTCTTACCTCACCGAGTGTTGTCATTCAGCAGAAGACATTTCTGCCTTCGATTCCTGTCACATCATCATATTAACATATTACACTCTAATATTTGGCCAATTATATATCAATATAAACAAAACAGTTATTTTATTATAAACTAGTAAAAACTGTATAATACTACATTAATATATATTTATTCATATTTATACATATTGAATTCGAGTGAAGTCAAAAGCCAAGCCATTCGGAGACAGAAAGACTCTGACGCCAAATGCTGTCACAGAAAACGGGTTTAAGGATAAGGTTAACTATAGTATAATGGCGGTGTCTGACTCACTGTGTTTCCCCGCCATAGAATGCCTCTTCCCGGTACTGTAGCGTATTTGTCTGTATTTTAAGTTATCTTTCTGTTGTCTTTATAAACTATTTGTCTGTATTTTAAGTTATATTTCTATTGTCTTTATAAACACACACTACTGCTTAGTGATACTCAAGTACTAGGAGATGGGGGAAAAATTAATTATCATACAAAAATAAAGTTTATTCTATAGATAATCAGAGTGCTGGAGGCTGTAGTTAGTTCGGTAGAGAGCTGCGCCTGGTGCTGGGAGAGGTGCTGTTCCTTCTGTGGCTGGAGAGGTGCTGTTCCTTCTGTGGCTGGAGAGGTGCTGTTCCTTCTGTGGCTGGAGAGGTGCTGTTCCTTCTGTGGCTGGAAAGGTGCTGTTCCTTCTGTGGCTGGAGAGGTGCTGTTCCTTCTGTGGCTGGAGAAGGTGCTGTTCCTTCTGTGGCTGGAGAGGAGTTGTTCCTTCTGTGGCTGGAGAGGAGCTGTTCCTTCTGTGGCTGGAGAGGTGCTGTTCCTTCTGTGGCTGGAGAGGTGCTGTTCCTTCTGTGGCTGGAAAGGAAGTGTATAGTGTAGTTGGTTCTTGTTCTTCTTGTTTTGGGGATTTCTGACCGCTTCGCCTTTTGGTTATTTCGGGCGGAGCGGCTGTAGTCGTTCTTCTGTTTTCTTCTTTTCTTGTGGCGGTTCTTCACGGCTCCCGGTCACTTGGCCGACAGACGTTTGGCCGACGAACATTTCACTGATGGACATTTGCCGAACGGACATTTAGACGAATGGACAAATGGCCGAACCTAACCTAACCTAACCTATACAAATGTGCAAAAAAAAATTATATCATGCAAATGTGTCACATTGTAATTATGTTATCTTTTTACCCTGTGTTTTATAAAGCAAATACATTGCAAAGAAGAAAGAAAAATAACAACAAAATTAAAAAGGACATATGTCCATTCGCCCAAATGTCCGTTCTGCTAATTGCCTGTTTGGTCTATTGTCCGTTCGGCCAAATGTCTGTCGGCTCAATGTCCGTTCGGTCAAATGTCCGTCGGTGAAAAGTCCGTCAACCAAATGTCCGTCGGCCAAATGTCCTTCGGCCATCTGTCCGGCCACGGTTCTTCACGTTTCTTGGTCTTAACTTCAAGGAGAGTCTCCTTGTAGATGATCTTCTGGAGTCGCACTTGGCTACCCTACACTCACCCCTCCACTTGGGACACTCCCGGTCGGAGGAGGAGTGTGGGCCGCCACAAGCTGCACATTGTTTTTTAATGTCGCAGAACACGTAGTGTGCTGGTGCCTGGTGGTCCCACACGTGGCGCAGACCTCCCGAGCCCGGCACTTCGCAGGATGACCATATCGCTGGCACTTGTAACATCGTGTGGGTCTTGTAAGGTAGGGCTTAAATGGGGTGGTCGGTCACCCATTCCAGTTGTACTTCTTCTGGTCCCCGAGATATGCTAGAGACTGTCAGTTGATTGAAAATGTCTAAAGGAGGGCCACCAGACTGATGCTTACACTATGGCACCTCAGTTACCCAGAGAGATTAGAACGTCTGCAACTGCCTATATAGCTTAGACTACATGGGCAAGGGGCGACCTACTGTAATTGAGGTGTATAAACATCTCAAAGGGAACTACTCAGTTGAGTGTCCGTACCTGGATCTGGAGGACGTCCGCCCCACAACGGGTCACAGCTCAAGGTTGAAGAAGCCACAAGTCCAGAAAACTGCCAGGATACACTTTTTCGGAGTGAGAATTGTAGTGATTGGTTCCTTGTTGTTAATATATTTGTACAACAGGTATGGACCGACGGAACAACGGCCTCTCTCATTGGTGGATTTACCGACAAAATTCGTGAGAAAAATATCAAACGGGCAGAGGTTTTATATCTATTTAAATTTATATAAGATAGAACAGATAATTTTTGATCTTATTAAAAATTTGGACTGTGTTAAAGTTTTTTGAAAAATTTGTCACTACTGTAATACAGTTTTTTTATGCTGATTCTAAAAAAAATAACTGATTTTTGAGGAAATAAATAATTAACATTTTATTGGCGTTTGTTTTCAGGAACAGTGTCTGTTTTTTACCTAACTTAACAAACAAGTCGGTACTCATCGCAAAATGTTGGATGGGTACTGTGCGAGTTTATGTGGCGCCAACGCCACAAAGGGCAACATCTGCACGAGCTTATGTTAGGCATGACTAGCCAGCACTTGCCATTCCTAGATCCTTTTTTACTTTTATCCTCTTCACCATTGATCGGCTTGTTAGCCGCTTGGGCGATCGGTCACGTCTCTTACTTTTCTTTTTTCTGTAAGTCACAAATAAAACATTTCCACAAAACATAAGTTTCACATTTAAAATCAGCACGAAAAACTGTATCTTTAATGCAAGTTTCAAAAATTTGGAAGTCCAAATTTTTAATAAGACTTGTATTGGATCACCCATATTTTGTATATAATAGTATAATAATAATAATATAATCTGAATATTCATATTAATAAGAATATTTTTCTGCTTATAACTACTAACTCCACATTGATTTATTACAGAATTTAATTTGTTGTGTTACTAATTAGTTCAGTGGTGCATACCTGTTGCGTCAGTAATTGACAACACCGGGAACCAGAGTAGCAGTGAGGGACGGAAGGTGTATGGGAGTGTTTTGTGTTGAGTTGTTAAAGAGGTTATTTTTGTGATAAAACTCTATAAAATGTTATCATTAACCTAACCTTAACCTAACAACTGCCTGTTTGCGGACGTCCATGGGAGGAAAGAGTCACACTTGATGATGAAAGAAGCGGAGGAATAGAATAAAGAACAAAAGTCCGAAAATGTGAAGGTAGGAATATAAGTGATGATGAGGGAGAGAGAGAGAGAGGAGAGGGGGAGACTGAGAGGGAGGGGAGAGGGAGAGAGGGAGAGGCCACGAGGAGAGCAGGTGGAGCGCGTGATGCGGGCTCACCTGAGATCACCAAGAGATAACAAAACATTAATGACTTTGTTTACTCTCTATAAACATCTATTACCTAAAACAATAAAGAAAAAAATTGTTTATCTTATAACCGTAGTGTTAATGATGACCCAGACGATTGTTAAAGTCCCCAAAGACCTGACAGACGAGGGGACTTACTGGTAACAAGGGCTGATGCTGGTGTGTCGTGACGAGGAACAGGCAGGTGAGACTGGGAGGCTTCCATGGTATAGTCCTGCTGGGTCGCCCTCACTCTCCTCCAGGCCACTCTGCTGCCATACACGCCTCCCCTCCCGGCCTACAGGTAAGGGGAGATTAACCAAACCCGGTGACGTTATACTTTTACACACAACTGACTTCAAGGTTCACTAAATGTCTGAAAACTTGATTGTGAAAGTGTACCGTCCATGATGGCAACAGGTACAGTGACAGGTGCAGGTACAGTGACAGGTATAGGTACAGTGACAGGTACAGTGACAGGTGCAGGTACAGTGACAGGTATAGGTACAGTGACAGGTACAGTGACAGGTGCAGGTACAGTGACAGGTGCAGGTACAGTGACAGGTACAGTGGCAGGTACAGGTACAGTGGCAGGTACAGGTACAGTGACAGATGCAGGTACAGTGACAGGTACAGGTACAGTGACAGGTACAGTGACAGGTGCAGGTACAGTGACAGGTACAGTGACAGGTACAGTGGCAGGTACAGGTACAGTGGCAGGTACAGGTACAGTGACAGATGCAGGTACAGTGACAGGTACAGGTACAGTGGCAGGTACAGGTACAGTGACAATTTAAAACTTTCCCCTCGATACTATGAGCCTTAATTTTTCTCAGAAGCCTCTGATGCGATACTCTGTCAAATGCTTTGCTAAAGTCTAAGGAAATAATATCGTAATTATCGTCATTATCTACTACCTCGAAGACTTTCCTAAACAACGTTAGCATATTTGTTAGACAAGGTTTTCCCTTTGTAAACCCATGTTGAGAGTCGTAGATTAATTTGCTTTTCTCTAGATGCGATCGGATGCTATCTGCTATAATTGATTCAAGAAATTTCCCCACTACTGACGTCAAACTGATCGGCCGGTAATTTGACGCTGATTCTCTGTCTCCCTTTTTGAATATGGATACTACATTTGCCTGTTTCCACAAGTCTGGCACAACTCCGGTGTCTAATGATTTTGTAAATAAATTTATGAGGGGTCCGCTAATCTGTTCCCTACACTCTTTCAAGACTCGAGGGAAAATTTCATCCGGCCCTGGGGATTTTGTCTTCTTTAGTTTATTTATGCTCTTAAGAACATCCTCTTTTCTGATAGTGATATTCTTTAATTTCTCTTCTTCCTTTCCCTTAAATATCAGTGCCACCTTTGGAATTTCCTCTCGAATTTCTTCTGTGAAAACTGATAAGAAGTAGCTGTTCAATGCTTTGCTTATTTCTTCACTACCATTTATCACTTCTCCCCTCCCTGACTTTAAAGGCCCAACTTTGTCCTTGACCTTTGTCCTATATATCTGGAAAAATCCCTTGGGATTCGCCTTGGATTCTCTTGCTATTTTGATTTCGTAGTCTCTCTTTGCTTTCCTTACATTTTTCTTAACATTCCTAGATAGTTCATTGTACCTATTTCTGAGCTGCTCCTCCCCTCCCTTTAATTTCTTATAAATTCCTTTCTTTATTCCTATGTCATGTTTAAGTTTTCTGGTTATCCACCTTGGATCATTCTTATTTGACCTAATTTTTCTGATTGGTATATTTTGTTTTTGTGCTTTATGTTCACCCCTTCCTACTGGGGACTGATGTGACTGTTCCCAGGTGACCTCACCTAGGTACCTTCTTAACCCCTGATAATCCGCCAACCGAATGTTTGGGACTCTGACCATATTGTCATTGTTTTTCGTTTCCCAATTTAGGGTGAACCTGATTTCTCTGTGATCACTGTTACCTAGTTCTTCCCCTACTGTGATATCTCTGATAATAGTTTCTTTATTTGTTAATACTACTGTAGGTCTAATATATTGTCACCTCTAGTAGGTTCTGTAATTAGTTGTTTCAAAAAATTGTCCTGTACTGCGTCCTGTACGCTGGACATGATCAAGTTCCTTAACCCGCCATGTGTTTCACCTCTAACAATAAATCAACAATTATCTACCTCAGCTAAATGGATTAGTTCATAACTAAATAATAAATAAAGAAAGCAAACCAAAACAGATTTATTAGGTTTTTATGAAAGTGAATTATTATTATTAAATATGATGGCTGGTCGTTCACATACACTAGGATGTAACATAAAATCCCAGAAAAGCAGAAATGGTGACGAGCTTTAAGACACACACACACACACACACACACACTAATGTATGATCAGGTAAGACAGAGTGATCGCCGCTCATCGAGTTTGTAAGGCCATTATTGATCCCTCGGGCCGCTGCTGCTTACCTACCGGAAATTGCGTTCAGTGTCCGGATGTGGCAGGTGAGGAGAGCCCAAGGAGGGAGGGAGGTCATCCAGGTCACGTAAGGGAGAGAGGAGGTCAGTGGGTGGGGAGACACTTAGTGGATAACAAGGTGGAGAGAGTCACCTTAACTACGGGATAATCATCTTCGCTGTACTTAATTAATAGAGGAAACTGGAGTACCCTGATAAAACCCGCGCCCTCTGGTGTTGACGGACGAGAGTATAACTGGTAGACTTTAGTATTAGTTGTGGTTACTGTAGTTCCATAAGTGACCCGTCCAGACGTGAGCTGTGTGTATACACTTACAGACGTGAGCGAGCATGAGGTGACAGCTCAGGGAGGTGCCTGTGTGTTGAGCTGCCACACTACGGCCATGAGCGACAACCTGACTCATTCCTCTAACAACGACTTCCCGCCCAACAAACACTTCCACCCAACACCTTGTAACGACTGTTGTGACGACCCGCAGTCACCACAAGATCTACAGGAGCACCTCCCTCCTCCCTCGTGTATAGGCGTCGTCCCTCTGCCAGTGTGTGCTGACCATCTGCCAGAGGGTGAGCTTCCCACCACCTGTGTCTTCTCTGAATCGTCCTTGACCCTATCAGACCTGCCACAGTTGGGTCCGCTGGTGGGTCTCGAACCCATCCAGTGTTTCCCGGATGCTGGTGCAGAGGGCGAGGCAGCACTAACCCTCCCACCAGACGCCGCGGTGCCTGTAGACATGACATACACCACGGAGGGTCACCAGCTGGTTGTGGCGACTCCGACACCCGCCGCTCAGGTCACGCACACCAGAGTGAGAGACAGGAAGAAGAAATGTAAGTAATAAACATGATGTTGCTCACTCCTCCGTGTACAGGCGCTGCACCATATGTGTCTCACCATACAGTAACTAGTGATGACTATATGTTTACTTGCTTCCTTTTGACGCAACTGTTTATATATAAAACACACAAATGTAATATTGAAAGGGAAGTAATTACTCCAGGTAAGGCTACAATAAACTCTACCTCACCTTATGACATACAGTACAAACCTGACACGACTAGTGTACAATGTTGTCTTCCCGGCAGGTAAGAGCGTGTACAAACATGTGCCTCACAGGGAGAAGCCGCCTCACCTGGTGGCTCGACGCAACGCCAGGGAGCGACGGAGAGTACAGTCCGTGAACGTCGCCTTCACCAGACTCAGGCGGGTTGTGCCCTGCACCAGCGGGTATGTCTCTGGTGCCCTCACGCTTATCTTGCTACACACTATGGTTAATGTAGATGATGCTGCCAGTAATGCTACTGTCACATGCAGACAGACCCAGGTATGGGAAGGCGGCCAGTACTTGTTGTCAGTCTCCGCCACACACGGCTGTTTGTAGGTTTATTATATTCTTCTTAAATGTATTTACAGTCACTCGTCTCCTCTTGCCGTCAGATCTAGACCTGTACATTAATAAACGATATCTTTGTCTTGACTACATGTTCATAACAAATGAGGCAGTGTAGCGCGACCGTTATTGTGGCGAGGATCCATCCCCGAGAGACCTAATTGTCCGCGCCCAACATTCCACGACTCCCATGGGACACACACACACACACACACACACTCACCCAGTAACCTATGTTGCAGGTTGACCCCGTCATCCCCGAAGAGATATTCTTCTTAAATATAAACACTATACATAATTTATACTGTAGCAGTGTATGATAGAGAGTAGTAGTAACTCTCGACAGGAGCTGTCATGCACAGGCCAACCGGCCTATTGCAGACTCCTTATTTTCTTATGTTCTTATGATGACGCCCGGGCCCTCATCACCTAGATCACAACATTGTTAGGAGGCAAAGCGAGCGTAAAATAAATCTGACGAGGACTCCGCAAAACTACAGGAAGATCTAAACAATTTTTTCGAATGGTCTGAAAAATGGCAGATGAAATTCAATGTAGACAAATGTAAAGTATTGTACTCAGTATAGAAGCTGTAAACAGGGAAACCAGATACCAGATGAACAACGATGCCATAGAGAAATCCGACTGCGAGAAAGTTTTAAGAGTAGGAATCTTAAGCCAAGTAAACAATGCAATGTGTATTTACTCGAAACAAGGCTAACAAAGTACTTGGATTCATACAAAGGAGTGTTAGTTACAAGACTAGTGAGGTCACCCTAAAACTATATCTTGCGCTTGTGAGACCTCACTCAGATTACGCAATTCAATTCTGGTCACCGTATTACAGAATGGATGTAGACTCCTTGGAAAGAATTCAGAGGAAAATTACAAGACTAATCCCGGGCATTAGGAACCTTGAGAACAGAGACAGGTTAAAGCATCTTAATTTGCACTCCCTCGAGAGACGTAGAGTGAGGGGCGATATGATAGAGGTGTATAAATGGAAGTCAGGGCTAAACAAAGGGGACATTACAAAGGTACTCAAACTATCCAACCAGCCGCGAACTCGTAACAATGGTTTTAAATTAGACAAATTTAGATTTAGGTGCAAAATAGGTAAAAATTTGTTTGGAAATAGAGTAGTGGACGAGTGGAACAAGTCACCAAATATCATCATTAACTCTAATACGCTGGATAGCTTCAAACATAGGTTGGATGGATATATGAGCGATAGGGGTTGGGTGTAAACGGGACTGCCCAGTATGAGCCAATACGCCCGCTACAGTTTCCTCCATTCTTATGTTCACCATCTCCCCGGGCCAGACGCAGCAAGAGAGTGAGCAAAGTGAAGACGCTACAGGGAGCTATTGACTACATCTACCGGCTGCAGGACCTGCTCACTCACAACACCGCCACACACATCAACAACAACTGCTCAACTCGTCACCTCGAGCCTATTAATAACTGCAGTATGTTACAACACAACAGTGAAAACACTTCATTCAACAACTGCACCGTGATGCACCCTTCTACAGAGATCTCCAACACATATCTGAGTGTCCATCCTCCCGGGGTGCAGGATGACTCCCGCCACCACTACCAGCAGCAGCAGTTAGCCTACACCAGTGATGACACTGTCGAGTGGTCAGACCAGGAGGTAACGGCCATGTCACCTCACCTCTACAGTACAATAGTTTACTCTATATTTCTCATTTTATCACAACAATGGTATTTTCTCCAACTTTTAAAAATCAGAGTTTGTTTTTGCAAACTAAACACAAGTATCTTTTTCCACGGATGTTTGTTCATCTGACAAACTAAAGACTTGGAATCATTTAACTTTTGCATGATTTAATATACAATGTATATGGACCTTGCATACCAGAGGACTTTATTCAGCTGAGACGATCCCATACACAAAGGGTAATAAAAACAGTCTGATGTATGTTTAAGGCTAGGATTCCATTCACGCGGTAGCGGTAGTGCCAAAAATAGATGATATTGAAATGTACACGCTTGTTTCCATTGGCACGGTTGCGTTTGCGCTTTGCGGTACACTTCAATCGCTCCCTGTAGCGATTGAAAACGCAACCGCATGGAAACGGACGAAAGAGTCCCACACGGTGACGTCACTAGTTCCTGTTTCATTCTTAGAAATTTTCTTCATCCAATCTTTGCTTTTTTACCAGAGTATTGTAGGCTCCAAATTTGGATCGATTCACCAGCAATTTATGCAATCGCCATCTATGTTTCCTTGACCGTTTTCCCTTTGCATCACGCATGGTCTTATACAAAACCAGGATAATTAATGGCAAATCATTCGGTTCATATAAATAGCGTCGTAGTTTCGATGCACTGGGACTGGAAGCCATCTTTCTTCCCATGTTCCCGTTAAGATAGATTATGCAACTGCAAATGAAAACGGGGCGTCCGTTTCCCAACGCAATTTAACACAAACGCATATACAAATATGGAATCCTAGCACAACGCTGATAATATTGTCTGAATACCCACAGAATCCGATGACGTTAATTAAGACGATGAAATATTCAAAACAAGTTTACCAATTATTTGTTCACAGAAATGCTGTGTTTCCAACAACTAAATGTTGGAGGTTGTGAGTTTGTACTGTATATTGTACTATATAGCCTTCACGCTCATTGTCAGTTCTTAAGTTTAAATTTATATTACTATACCATTACAGTATATTGTGTTTTCATTTAATTTCCTATTTTTCCAGGAGGTGGGAGAGCGACAGTACTTTTCTGACTGTATCTCGCCGGGCGTGATGGCTGGCTACTGAACACAACTGTCTTGTTTGTTTAACTTTATTTTAAATATCTTATAGTTTCAACAGCCCATTGGTGGTCACAGCTTGTGTTTATACCGGTAGCGTAGTGTAGTGTTTATACCGGCAGCGTAGTGTAGTGTTTATACCGGTAGCGTAGTGTAGTGTTTATACCGGTAGCGTAGTGTAGTGTTTATGCCGGTAGCGTAGTGTAGTGTTTATGCTGGTAGCGTAAGTTAAAATTTGTTATGTTTACAATTTGTTGTGTGATTATTGATCGGTTTTATATAATAACAAAATGATATGTGCGTCACCTGAATAATCTCCACCCCAGCTTATTTCACCTAAAGATTAACCACCCTAACAGTATTTTGGGGGGATGAGGTTATGTTAAGATAGGTTAGGTTATGTTAGCGTTAGGGTGATCAATCTTTAGGTGAAATAAGCTGGGGTGGAGATTATTCAGATGACCCCCAAAAACTATGAGGAATATTTTCTCTACTGTGCAGTAGATGAGGGTGGGAGCAGAGCCATAACAAGAGTGTGGGGTTAGACATACGTTGTTGTACATAATATTGTTTACTTTATTTCTAGTCATCTGCTAGTCTAAGATACTATAAGTCTCATCAATTTTAGTACATGTGATTTGCTTTAATCAGGAAATGGGATTTTGTGAAATAAATATTGAAACATTTAAGCTGTTTTGACTACAATAAATTATTAACCCAACAACTGTCTCAGTAGTTTGTGATAGTTCAAAATGTGATGTTGTCAGGCTGGTGGTGTGGTATGGTGTGGCCGGAGTGAGCCAGCCGCCACACCCTGGTTAACGAGCGGCCAGTACCGCCCACCACAGCCACCCGGGTGAAAAATATCTCCAGATTCTACCTCTTGAACGACCACCTGTACACGACACAGCCACCCGTCACCCCCACCCCCCTGCCGCGCCTCCTGTCCTCTGAGTCACAATGGTGTTCGGGCGACGAGTAGTGTATAAATTAATGAATATGTGAGGGCGACACGAGGCAGTCCAGGTCACATGAGGTCAGGGACGGGTAAGAGGTCAAGCGGTGAGGGTCAACTTAGCTAGAGGGGTGACCTTTGCTCACTGTTGTTTCTTTTTTTCATATAATTGAATGATAAATTTTAATGAACACCCGTCAACCTTTTACATTAACTACTGATAACACCCACGCCACTGGACCTTAGAACATAAGAACATAAGAATGGAGGAAACTGCAGCGGGCCTATTGGCCCATACTGGGCAGTCCCGTTTACACCCAACCCCTATTGTTCATATAAACATCCAACCTATGTTTGAAGCTATTCAGCGTATTCGAGTAAATGATGATATTTGGTAACTTGTTCCATTCATCCACTACTCTGTTTCCAAACCAGTGTTTACCTATTTCACGCCTAAATCTAAATTTGTCTAATTTAAAACCATTGTTACGAGTTCGCTCCTGGTTGGATAGTTTGAGTACCTTTGTAATGTCCCCTTTGTTTAGCCCTGACTTCCATTTATACACCTCTATCAGGTCTCCCTCGTTCTACGTCTCTCAAGGGAGTGCAAATTAAGATGCTTTAACCTGTCTCTATACTCAAGGTTCCGAATGCCCGGGATTAGTCTTGTCATTCTCCTCTGAATTCTTTCCAAGGATTCTATATCCATTCTGTGCATTAAGTAACTCACTATTTAAATTGTCGTGGAACTCGGCAATCTCAGATCTCGTTATCAGGTCGGTGTCATCTGTCAGGTTCACGGCCAAGCGCGACACCCCCTCTCTCAGCTGCCTCTTTAAACTGTCAAGTTTGCCCTTCTGAAATCTGGTACTTTAGTGGAATTTTCCTTACGTCTGCCCTGAAAATCTAACTGGAATCTGATTTCTTTGTGATCGCTGTTTGCAAGTTCGTTCCCTACCTCGACGTTGCTAATGAGGTTTTCTCTGTTCGACAGAACTAAATCGAGTATATTATTACCCCGGGTGGGTTCGGGTATATGTTGACTTAGGAAACAGTCCTGGATCGTCTCGAGAAAATCCTCTGATTCTGAGTAACCTGTAAGGTCAGTCCAATCTATGTGGCCAAGGTTAAAGTCGCCTACTATACAGACTTTGTTGTGTATGGAAGCCCTGCGCATTTCATCCTTATCATTACAAACGAGGAGAGTATGGTGGCCAAGCTGGAACACCTCGCCCCAGTTGGCACCAGTCTTCACGTAACGTTGTCCTTCAGATTTAAGTTTTACTTGGTTCACGACAAAACCAGGCCAAGGTTCAAATATTATAAGGGAAATTACAACGGGATGAGGGAGGAGATGAGGGGTATCCACTGGCCTGCCTCACAAAGGTATATGAATGCTTCGCTGAATATCATAGCCATCTGATCAACAAAATTGCGGGGAGATATGATAAAAGTATTTAAGTGGGTGAAAGGAATCAATCAAGGTGATATAGATAAAGTTCTTATAATATCCGAGCAGGATAGGACTTGCAGCAACGGATTTAAGTTGGATAAGTTTAGGTTTAGGAGGGAGATAGGACGGAACTGGTTCACAAATAGGGTGGTGGATGAGTGGAACAAGCTTAACAACTTTGTAGTAAGTGCTGAAATGCTGGAAAGTTTTAAAAGGAGGCTAGATAGATTCATGGATGATAAAGAGTGGTAGTAACTCTCGACAGGAGCTGCCATGCACAGGCCAAATCCAGTGCCTCCAAGAAAACAAGAAGCCCGCTACACATGAACCATGCGGCTGTCGACAAAGTTAAGAAGAAAACTCAAACCCGAGACATGGGTTAGGACTAACAAAGAGCAGCATAGGAGGATGTATGCCAAATCCAGGAACCAAGTAAAGTCAGTGTAGACGTGCCAAAAAAAAAGAATTCCAGTGGCAAACTGCAAGAGGCAAGGTCAAACCCAAGGCATTTTACTGCTACGCTAAGTCGAAATTAAAAACCCAAGCTTGATGGTAGTTACGCAGATTCTGACCAAGACAGGGCCTGGGCGTTTAAGTTTCTTTTCCTCTGTGTTCACAGGAGAGGATGCGACCAATCTTCCTGCGTTTGAGGACAGACGGTTCGACACAGCATTGACCACATTGTGTTCACAGAAGAGGTTATAAGAAATAAACTGTCAAAGCTAAAGGTTCATAAGAGTCCTGGACTGGACATGGTGCATCCCAGAGTGGTAAAGAAGTTGTGCAACGTACTTGCCGAGCCCCTGAAGATCCTGTTCTGTAAATGCCTGGATGAACAAAAGGTCCCCAGTGATTTTAAAATGGCTTATGTGAGTCCTATCTTCAAGAAGGGCGATCGTCACTCCATGAATAACTATAGACCAGTGAGCCTGACCAGCATAGCATTATGTAAGGTATTTGAAAGCATTACAAGAGATGCCATGATGGAACATCTACTACGAAACAACCTTATCAAGGATTGCCAACACGGTTTTATACCGGGGCACTCCTGCTTAACACAATTACTCAAGGTACTGGATGTTTGGACCCAAACTCTGGAACAAGGTGGTAATATCGACAATATATAACAAGATTTTGCCAAAGCTTTCGACAGTGTACCCCACAAAAGGCTGAAAATTAAACTAGAAGGGTACGGGAATCGGGGAAATGTCCTAGCGTGGATCGGAGGCTTTCTACATCACCGCAAACAGTGTGTGGTGATTAATGGCACGAAATCATCATCCGTACCTGTCACAAGCTGGGTACCACAGGGTAGTGTATTGGGCCCTCTGCGGTTTGTTTCATAATGATATGCCAGAAGCTATACACTCCTCCATACAAATGTTTGCGGATGACGCCAAGTTATTTCGGGAAATTAAGAACCAAGTGGACTGTGAAGAGCTGCAGAAGGATCTCTGTGAGCTTCAAGAATGGTCGAGGAAATGGCTGCTAAGGTTCAATGTCACGAAGTGTAAGAGGCTGCACCTGAGACGTACCAACAGTGAAGAGGCGTATCATACAGTATGTCCCAACGGTACGAAGAAACTGCATTAATTGAGACTGAATGCAAAAAAGACCTAGGTGTGTATGTTGACAATGAACTGAAGTTCTCTGGCCATGGGAGAAGAATCAGGCAACTAAATTATTAGGTCCTATAAGAAGTGTTTCCCCATCTGGAGTACTGTCACCCCGTCTGGTCCCCGAGATGTGCTAGGGACTGTCAGTTGATTGAAAATGTCCAAAGCACCTCAGCTATCCCTGAGAGATTGGAGCGCCTAAAATTGCCTAGCTTATACTACAGACGGGCAAGGGGTGACCTAATTGAGGTGTATAAACATCTCAAAGGGCACTACTCAGTCGAGTGTCCTTACCTGGAGCTGGCGGACGCTCGCCCCACAAGGGGTCACAGCTCAATGTTGAAGAAGCCGCAGGTCCAGAAAACTGTGAGGGTAAACTTTTTCGGAGTGAGAGTTGTGAACTCTTGGAACAATCTACCAGAAAGTGTTATGATGGCACCGAGTGTGAGCTCTTTCAAGACAAGACTTGACCAACACTGGAGCGGGTTCAGGTACATTCAGGAGCCGGTGCATGCCCAGTACTTGCCAACAGTGCGTAACAGAGACGTGACCGATCGCCCAAGCGGCTAACGAGCTGATTGTTGGTGAAGAGAATAAAAGTAATGACATTTAGAGCCTTTCCATGTATCACCATATACCACACTTTATCACCATCCTCCTCACACATGAAGCTCAGCAACATGGCGCCTGCACTGTCCAGAGTCTCTTAAGGCAAACAACATAAGAATGGATGAACTGCAACGAGCCTATTGCCCCATACTAGGCAGTCCCGTTTACATCCAACCCAGCTTCCTATTTGTGTCAAAATAATAATAATAATAACAACCAATACTACCACTAGCCCTCTCATTACACTCCCTGGTTCTGCTGTCTGAAGAATTTTTTTTCGTGGGTGAAAGCTTTCTCCACTTCCCCTCACTCCTCACCCGTCTCCCCCATACTATCCATCTCCCCTCCCCTACTACCATATACTACTACTGTACTAATCATAATGTGACACATTGCTTTAGCTTTATATACAGCGTTACATCCATCTCCTGTTCTCCTCCTACCTTAAGCTCCTGGCCTCTCCCTGACTTAACATCCTGAGTGAGTTGACCTCGCTTGACCTCCCCAGACACGTGCCTGTAGGTCACCAGCTCATTAATTTAAACGTCAACCACATTATTTGGGAGGCAGAATCAGCACACAGCTGGGAGGACCACTCTACCTGTTTAGGTTGTCTGTACAGTAAAGATTATCCTGTGACCAGATGGTCTACAGGTAAGACCACACACTTACGAGTCTGTACAAGAGTTATTGTAATGTTTAATGTAACTCAGTGACTCTACATTAAGGTTTGCGTGTGCTGCTCCTCTCCCAGTAAGAGGCTCTCCTGTGTAAGTCGCATTCCTTGTTTTCATCTTTGCTTGTGTCTCTTCAGCTGTGACTGTGGTCATGTGAGGGAGGCGAGGGAGGGGTGGTTGGGGTCATCACCACCACACCCACTAATGACACGCTCACACACTCCCAGCCTGGCCACACCCAGGCCAGCACACGATCCTGCCAAGGACACCACATGTCTTATCTCCCTCCTGTAGGGAGTGAGTGAGGGCAGGGAGACACACCTTTACGAGTTTCTCGTTTGTTGGGGGTACATTAGTGTTTAGATCACATGAGACATCTCCCCCCTTGAGGACATTCTTCAGGTGACCCGAGTAGTAAACGAATGAGTCACTGTGTTGTCTCACGTACGTACGCCAACTCCAGGCGTTACAAATATGTATTTTTGCTTTTCGTACTTATGTCAAATAAAATTAAAACACACATGAAACAAAATATATTTGAACATATCAACAACAATGTTTGGTGAGGAATGCAGGGATGGAGGGAGGGGAGATAGCAGAGGTGCGGTGAGGTGCCGAGTTTCATCAATGTTTTCCTTTTTTTTATCGTTTTTCTTTTAATGTTCAACATTAAATTATCAGCGTCGGATGCCTGCAGAGAGGAAAACTTTTTAAACCAACAGTCGAGCGCTTAACGCATCATTGTACTGATCTTCATCAAGTACAATCTTTAAGAGCTTATACCAATCATCAACAATTAAAGACAGTACAATAGGCTTCATGCATGTGGCCAGCTGAAGTCAAGGATGTATATATTGGAGGCTGCAGCAGTATCAAAACAATATGGCGGGAAGATGTTAGTTTTATTGCATGTCATATTATTACATTACTCGTCAACATTATCGTTTACAATGTCAATTATACTATGAAAATTTACACCTCAGTAATATATTTCACAACAATGGTTAATGTTAAACAATTTACAATACCTTTTACAATAATTCAACAATGTTCTTAACAATTTGCACTTAATATCTCTACACCAATGATAAATAATATATACTTTTTTAAAATACAATAACATCTTTTACAATAATGGTCAATGTTAAGAAAATTATCACTCAAATCTTTTACAATAATGGTTAGTAATGTTACAACCAACACATAATTTAGCAAGTCTTACGATAATTGTCAATAATAATTAAGCAATTTACAATTCAGTAATTATTTATTAGTAATGGTTAGTAATGTTATGAACAAATTACAAATATCAAACAACATATTTGACAAGGTTAAACAATACCAGATAGCTACCTTTACCGTACAAGGAAAACGGCATCTGCTGTATGTACAATTGTCAGGGTTCTGGATACACACACCCATCAGGCTACTGTATACGTTTCACACCTGTACATACACAGACTGACCACTCTGTGTATTCCTCACTATATGGTAACAATGTGGTGACGAGTGTGATCAGTAATGTAGGATGACGGGCCAAGGATGACGCCGCCATACACGTCAGTAAATCATTCTAGTTTGTTGTTGTGGTCACGCCCGCCAAACATCACTAATTTCTCTCAACGTTTTAATAAGGAACATTGTCTAAATTTCGTTTCTTTTTATATTGATGGTAAAGAAATATTGTTAAAGTTCCGCAGAATATTTAAGCGGTAGAGCTTTATGGAGGACCCTCAATAAAGAGGGGCCCCAGCCCGCCCGCCCTCTTGTAAATAACAAAATAAATAAAATACATATATCACAAGTTGTGACCTTAGTCTTCACATTTTCCGAAACCCGCCGGTGAGAAATTACTCCCAAACTTAATGTTCACCTTCCTCTTACACTCCCTAAGAAATTAATTTTGGCACTAATCTTCACGACTTCAACACTGACGCCATATTTACCGCTATAGAGGGCCAGTGTTGTCACACACCCTCACCAGACTGCTTCTGCAGATCTTTGAATTTTTTTGACGCCCGCAATTTTTTAGGAACATATTGTTGGTCGACCTCCATGTGCTCGGGCGGCAGGTGGTGCTGTAAGTGTGGTTTCAGGTTCTGGACACATTTTTGGTCCTGTTGTGGAGGATGATCCTCTTCCCGACACCTGGGTGACTCCACCACCTCGGAAGATCCGTAGCCAGAGGACGCCTCACTTGCGTAATGAAGGTCCCTCTGGGGATTTTGAGCAAGAGGTGGTGTGGGGGAGCCGCTGCCGGTACTGGGCGTGCTGAAGGTATGGGGGAGGGTGTTGACGGGGACAGGGGGCCGAGGAGAGAGATGGAGAGACAAGCTGGGGACTGGGGCAGCCTGGTGACAGTAGTACTCACAGACACACGCCTGCATGTCCGTAGAGGAACTGGCGCGAGTCAAGTCCAGGGCAAAGGAGGGAGAGCGGGCGTGAACGGGCGTGGGTCTGACAACTCCGCTAGATGTGTAGGCGTGTGTTGAAGGAATGTTGCCGTGAGAGGTGATGGTGGGGGCGCAGCTCTCCGGGATGACCGCCTTGGAGGAGGAACCTGAGACACAGATATTAATTAAGTGACGAACTGTGCGAAAAAATGGTCACACGTATAAAGTTTAATTCCTGTCTGATACATGTAACGATAATTTCTAGTGACAATATATATTGTTGGGAAGGAACGTAATCAAGGATTGAGCAAATAGTTACAACATTGCAGAGTTTATTGCATCTTTTACATAACATGTTTTCCAAAAGTTACGTGAAATTACAGATAAATCGTTGAACATAGTTGTTGAAAAGTAACTGAAAAGCTGGTACAACTTACCGTGGACGTGAGCGGCGGAGGGTGCGACCGGCTCCAGCGCTGACATGTCTCTCTCCCGCTTCTGGTGGTCTTCTCCAAGCAGCGCAGAGACGCTGAAGTTGTGGGAAGGACCGCTCCTCCTAGGAGAGAGTCTGGCCTGCTTAAAGTAATGTGTGTGAGGGTTTTGACTAGGTAGGTAAGCTGCTTGAGATGTGTATGGGTGATGTTGGGGCAGAGTTGTGGGCAGGGGGGGTGGTGGTGGTGGTGGCGGCGGCGGCAGCGCGGGGAAGATCGTCCAGGGAGACGGAGCGTTCTTCGGCGTTGGGTACAAGAGCTGGCCTGTATGATGATCAGTGTACAGTTGGAAGGGTTGGGCGGGCAACAAGGGGTTATGCAGAGCCATGGTGGGTGGAAAGGGGGGACTTTGCTGATGTAGCTCTGGCAGGTATCCGCTATCCAGTAAATGACGCGGTAACGGTCCACCATTTTTTTGGTGAACACGCATATGACGTTCTAGGTTACTCTTGTGACTAGTTTCATAGGAACAATGACGACAGGAAAACTCTTTGTATCCTGAGTGCACGGAGTAATGTCGTTTGAGGAGAGCCTTACGGCAGAAGACGCGGCTGCACACAGTACAGTGGTAGCCGTCCCGATGAAACTTCTGCGTGTGCATCCTCAGCTCGGCCTTGTTAAGGAAGCGGAAGCCACAGCACTCAAGTAACGCAGGAGACATCTCGTGCATGGTGAGGTTGTGACGCTTGAGGTTGTTCTTGCGGTCAGTACGGTAGGAACACATAGTGCAAACAAACACCCGACCCTTACTATCTTCTCCGTCGCTCGCGCTGGCAGATGTACTTCCGCCTGGCGACACGATCATCTCTTCACTGTTGTTAGTATTCACCAGCATCGTGTTGGCGTACATCCACTCAAGAGGTGCAGCGAGGACCAACTCTGCTAAATGTTACTCGCACTCGTGTGGGTCGCTCCCCGCGTGTGTCCCTCGGAGAGAGCGAGGTGCGGTGTGTCGTGTCCCAGTGTTGTCCCAACAGTGTTACGAGGGGCGACGCGTGGGTGGGAGGCGTCACACACCGTCACAGATCACCGTTACACACCACTGGTCTTAACACGCGCTACACTAGAGTCTCACGCACACAATGTAGGTAAAGAACTGTCCACGCACACTACAGCAGGTTCACTTGATCACTCTCACTAAAAGTCGTTATAACAGAAATGGAGACGTCTGGCCGAGAGGAACACGCGCCTGAGGTCAACTCCCCTTACGTACTGTAGAGAGGACTAGGTCAAACTCATGTAAGAGCGCAGCCACAACTGACCCTGCCCGGCCGATGACCGTGTTTATAAAGAGACCAGTAATAAGGGATGAGGTCAAGTCAGGTCAAACCAGGTAACCAATGATACGCTCTGGTTATGACATTCAGGGTAGCTGTTGCCGTTAATAATCATTATATGTTAAAGAAATATAAACAATTAGAACGTGATCCGATGAATTAAAAATAAACATTCACCTGAAGTTGAACATACAGTATATATATATAACTGTACACTAATTCCCTTGAGTAACACTTTAATGCTACCTTAAATAGAACCAAACTGTAGTGGCAACACAAATATTAAGGGAACTACTGTAGTGTGGAAATAGTTGTTTGCACGTCATTGTTAGCAGCCAGTAAACGACACTTCTCTTCACTACCCTACATTATAGACGCTGGTTCACATACCACAGTCGATCACTCCGGAAGATGTGAATTATTTTTATGTTGTAATATTTTTGGGGTAATTAAAGCTCTCCATTTACTGCTTTATTGTGCTGTTTGTAGGAAAAGTGGCAGCGCTGTAAAAGGCCCATACTGACTACGCCTTACACGACTCGTATATTTCTCCACAAAGACTTTAACTGTAGTATTGATATTGAAACAGGTTATTTAGCCAGAAAAATACAGACACGACAAGAATAACAATATAGTGACAGCTCAGGGTATCTTACTTTCACTGTATTAAGATGTATATTATTATTACATGGTTAAACGCAAACTGGTGGACCTGTGAGAATGTATAACTGTTATTGAGGTTTGTGTAGAGTTAGTTGGCGCCAGACACACCCAGCTTTGCACCAGTTAACGCCGGTAAGAGGAACTCGATTACCAATGGACGTCCGCTTTGAGAAGTTCCGGTAACGGTATTGATAACTCACAGTAATTATGCTTACCGACAGCAATAATAACCAATGATGGTCCTCTCCTTCTCCACACTAGCTCAAGTTCACAGTGACAGAGATTGTTCATTATCGAATTTATCTGGAGATGATATTATGGTAAATCTACAGTACACACAGGGTTTAGTGTTGACAAGAGAGCGTGTGTTGTGGCGTGTTAATAATAGTGAGTCAATACAACAAGGTGAGGGTCTCGTTACTCGTGACCTTCCCCTTACACTCCTTCATTCCTCCACAGATTACCTCCTTCTATAAATCTAGGCTGTACTGGGCGGGATTACTGTGATATTAAAGGATTAATCGCTAAATTTGGGGATAAATTAGCCGAGGTAGCGCCCCTCCCCCAACATTAGCACTCTCAGTACTCCACCCTGATCTCCTGTAATGACCCGTCCCTAGTGACACAACACACCCGCCGTGAGGCTGTTTGTTCGTCACGCCGTGGCCACCACACTCACCCGGGCTGGCAGTGGTTTCTTTTTTTTTTTACGGGCATTAGCCCACCCGGGCACAAGTCTCTGGCCCACATCTGGTCTGGGGGGCGAAGTGTAATAATAATAATTCGAAGTACCGTAAATAAAATTTATAATAAAAAATAAAAAAAATAAAAATTAAATCGTAAAACAATAACGACAATAATAATAATAAAGAACCATAACTAAATAAATAAAAAAAAGATCAATAGTGAGAAACAATATATGTATGTTGCGTTGTCAAAGTAAGAGAAACAGTTGAGACCCTGCAATTGTGCGTAAATGAGGCAGAAAGTCAGATCAGCAACCTAGGACTTGGTCACAATTTTCGTGATGCCATATGGCAGCAGGGTCTACCAATAGGCAACACGTACTACTTCAGTTTCATATCTTACGTTCTAACCAGTTTGAATTAAACTTATTACTTTACTAGGCTACTAATTTAAAAAAAAAATTTCAAAGCACGAACAGAACTTCTACTGATCCCGCTTGACCAGTGAGGGAGGCAGCCCCCCCCCACTGGTCAACTCAAGCCCGACAAATAACTCCCACACAGAGAGTTGTTAACCAGGTAATTTAAGATGGCCCAAACCTTCCTGCTGCATACCTCGACTATAGGAGTCCCGCGGGAGCTGTGTGGCGAGGACCAGCTGCTTCCCCACCTTCTGCTGGTATGGCCGCGCCTCTCACACCAATACTAAAGATATGTATTATGCTGTATTAGATTTTGGTATTTACAGTTATAGAGGAGTGTTGTGGCGCTGAGAGAGAAGAGTTAATTTGGTGTTGCAAGAGCATTCCTGTCCTCCGCCACACAAGACAAAGGACTCTCAGGCGCGCTGGTCCTTACTGTTGTCCCTCATATAACTGTATCTTCGTCGGCGCCAAGTTTTGTTCCCTGTTTTTTCCCTCAAACATTCAGATGACGTTTCCGAGGTTCATCTCCAGACACCCGTTGTTGAGATGAGTATTGGAGACCCCCCACACACCTCTTACAAAATTCACAAATGACTTTTCACAAGAGTTGTTTTGGGTCACCTGAAGAGTCTCCTCTAACACTATTTGGGGGAGTGGGTGAGGTTAGGTTAATCATCAGGTGAAATTAGATGGGCGGAGATTCTTCAGGTGATCCATTCTCTTATATCGAGGTTGACCACACACTCAGTTTTTACCTGTGCTGTTGTTTGTTGTCTACCATTATCTTCCTCTTCCCATGTTTATCTGCTCTCCCTCTTGTGATATTCCTTTCTTTGTTATTCATCTGCCTGCTGTTTCATTCTCATTTCTTTCACAAGGTCTTCATTAACCTTGCTGTTCTCGATCTAATTCTGTTTCTGACCCTCACATTTTTCTCTCTTCTCCCCCCTTATAATATCCGAGCAGGATAGGACTCGTAGCAACGGATTTAAGTTGGATAAGTTTAGGTTTAGGAGGGAGAAAGGAAGGAACTGGTTCACAAATAGGGTGGTGGATGAGTGAAACAAGCTTAGCAACTATGTAGTAAGTGCTGAAACGCTTGGAAGTTTCAAAAGGAGGCTAGATAGATTCATGGTTGATAGAGAGTGGTAGTAACTCTAGACAGGAGCTGCCATGCACAGGCCAACCGGCCTATTGTAGTCTCCTTATTTTCTTATGTTTTTATGTTCTTATTTAATTCTCGCCTCTTCCAACTACAATGTGCAGTGCTCACTTGGCGTTGACCTCACCGCCAGAGATTAAAGGTTAAGGGATACTCCTCAGGGATCTGTTTTACGCAGAATGACCTCATCTGACGTGACACTCCAGCCAGGTGTGTAGATGTATGCTCCCAGGTGTGGTCACCACGCTGTACACTCGCTGGTCTACCGCTTCCCAACAAACTGTCAGGTCGAAACACGTGTTAACAATCAAATTCCCAGTTACCGTTTGTGTTTCCTTCGCTACCAACCACACTAATACTTTATTTATATCTCAGAATAACAAGTTACTTGAGGGTGTCGGTATCACCACCAACACAACAGTGTCGGGCAGGTAGTGTTAACCTACCTGTAGATAACAACATAACATGAAACAACACTGTTACCGCCACAGTAGGATAAACTAGAAGGGAGAGAGAGACAGAGGGAGTGTTGACAACGAGCTTTGTTGAGGTATTAAATGTGAAACAGGTGGTTCTCGCCTCGGGCTGACTAGCTCGACTAGTCTCTAGCCGTCCAGTGAGCTATCAAGTCAGGAGTTAATAAGTCCTACATTAGAACCCGAAACGCGCAAGTTTTTAAATGGTTTAACACCATACTTTACTCAACCAGGAGCGAACTCGTAACAATGGTTTTTAATTAGACAAATTTAGATTTAGGCGCGAAATAGGTAAACACAGGTTTGGAAACAGAGTAGTGGATGAATGGAACAAGTTACCAAATATCATCATTAACTCTAATACGCTGGATAGCTTCAAACATAGGTTGGGTGCTTAAATGACGAGAGACCTACGTACAAAGCTAAAATCAGCTTTGTACGTAGGTCTCTCGTCATATATATATATATCTTGCGCTAGTCAGGCCGCACCTCGATTATGCGGTTCAGTTCTGGTGCCCCTATTATAGAATGGATATAAATTCACTAGAGTCGGTGCAGCGAAGTATGACAAAAATGGTTCCGGGACTTAGAAACCTTCCATATCAGGATAGGCTAAAGAAACTTAACTTGCATTCCCTAGAAAGACGAAGAGTGCGGGGAGATATGATAGAAGTATTCAAGTGGGTGAAAGGAATCAATAAAGTTCTTATAATATCCGAGCAGGATAGGACTTGGAGCAACGGATTCAAGTTGGATAAGTTTAGGTTTAGGAGGGAGATATGAAGAAACTGGTTCACAAATAGGGTGGTGGACGAGTGGAACAAGCTTAGCAACTATGTAGTAAGTGCGGGAACTCTGGAAAGTTTCAAAAGGAGGCTAGATAGATTCATGGATGAGAGAGAGTGGTAGTAACTCTCGACAGGAGCTGCCATGCACAGGCCAACCGGCCTATTGCAGACTCCTTATTTTCTTGTTTATATACATATATATATATATATATATATATATATATATATATATATATATATATATATATATATATATATATATATATATATATATATATATATATATATATATATATCACTCACCGGTCTTTTTTAGTGATCAATTCTTAAATTATTTATAAAAGATTATAATTTCGAG